CTAAAAAGAGGCTCCAGATTAGTCCAGGGGACAGGAAAGGAGTGGTGGGGGCAGGGAAATATACACAACAGATCTGTCCTGTTTCACATCACCTTTTGACTACTGGCAAAATCTAAAATGGCTCTTTGAAAACCATCTTTCTTCCTTCTCTGCTTTGAAATGTAGGGCTGGAAGCTCAGGGAGTAGCCCATTCTCTGCTCCTGTGGTACTTGACCTCAAGAACGTAGGCAGCCTCATCCTGCTAAGCCACCAATGGATGCCTTAAGGAGCTTGTAGCTTTTTGAAGGAAACAGGGATGCGGGAGCGTGATGGATTGATTTTAAAATCACCAATTTTAGTAGTTATTCAAATTTGCAAACAGGAAACTTTGATTTAAATAGACTATTTTAATCCTCTATTGCATTTGTACTTTTTAAGTTATTTTCATTAGTTGATAATCATAAAAACATGTAGATTTTCAATTAAATATGTCCTCTACCCCAGTGGTTCTCAAACTAGGGCCGCCGCTTGTTCAGGAAAAGCCCCGGCGGGCCAGGCCAGTTTGTTTACCTGCCGTGTCTGCAGGTTCAACCGATCGCAGCTCCCACTGGCTACGGGCTGAGGGACGTGCTGGCCGCCCTTCCTGCAGCCCCCATTGGCCTGGAGCGGTGAACCGCGGCCAGTGGGAGCCACGATCGGCTGAACCTGCGGACGCGGCAGGTAAACAAACTGGTCCGGCCCGCCAGGGGCTTTCCCCGAACAAGTGGCGGCCCTAGTTTAAGAACCACTGCTTTACACTATATTTGGTACTACTGTCTGTTAAGGAGGAGGATACACTACATTTATGTAAACAGTTACGTAGTTTAGCAGATGTTTATTCAGATTCCTAACTTTTACATTTGTTAGAAAATGGTGAATGACACCATTTCTTATTTAGTAGATAATTAGTATTTTACTCATTATTTATGTCAAGCTACATTTGGGTGGGAAATGTATTTGTGTATTTTGAATTGAATTCCAAATTGTTTTTATTAGTTAAACTAACTACCTTAAATGTGATGGAAATCTAAGAAAAAAGTTTAAATGCAAAACATGCTGATAAAACAAATGTATTATGCAAAGGAAGGAATATCTGTAGTTTCTGGTCACCATGTCAGTCAAGATTTTAGACCTAGTAGATCTCATCCTCTTACATCTCTGCTTTTTCAGCTCCCAGTCAGTTTCTCAACTTTGAATGAGCTAATCATTGAATTGATCTAGTTTAAAAACAAACGAAGAAAATACTCTCTCCGCACCTCCAGATGAGACTGCCGTTGTCAAAAGCTGGTTTAGCACTTTAAGAAACTCTGGTTCCAGGTGCTCAGCTTGTGGCTTCCAGTTCAGTGGTTTGACTTCATTTAAAACTTTGGCAATAGTAAACACATACTTCATGAATATTTTTTGTAATTTAAATGATTTTAATAAACTATAGTAAATGTGGGCCTTTAATATAGGTTGTCATAATTTAAGCTTTAAGTTAATTTTTTTTAAAAATACGTACTTTAACTATCCAATTTTATTTTTATCCACCTTGTGTGGGAAGCCAGCAGATGACTAAAACAAACAAAAAAGAAACCTAATTTATTTTCTTCCCTTAGAAGAGAGAGAATAGATTGGAGACATGGTAGTAAATGTCAGAACAGTGAAGTGGAGAAGGGCGTCTGCCATCAAAAGATTGGAGCTTAAAACCACTGTCTTGACTTAAGCAGTTCAAGTATAGGTTGGAAAACTTAATAACAATATATAATTATGCCAATAATGCTAGCCCCAGGTCTGAGCCCCCTGATTTAAGAACATATCACTTTTGTTAAAATTATTATAATTAAGAAACAAACCTCACTTCATTGGCAATTGATAATTCAGCCAATGAGAGCCTGCCCTCTACACTGTTCTAGTTTTAAAAAAAATTATCTGCTTTACAAATCCTACAGACTACTTGAATTTTCAATTTTCATTTAATTTAGTCCTTATCAGTTTGTTGTATCTGTATTTTCCACAGCAAAAAATAATCATCATAAATGTTCAGGTCTTGTTCAGAAGCAGGTTGTAGCCTGAAGACTAAAACCCAGTTACAAATGCATTTTGGTTTCATTCTCTCTAGTTATCACAAGTTTAAGATTAGAATAGTTCAACATGGTAGGAAGCTCTGTGTAAATAGCCCTTTACCACCCTGTTTGGAGAAAATGTGGATGGGATCTATGTGAAAAGGCTTTAAATTGAAAAGTGTGATTTGAGGTAATTAGTCTGAGTAATTTATGCTAAGGTTACTTGCATTCATCTTAAGCTTATTTTGAAATGGAAGGATCTAATTTTTTAAAAGTTTAAAAAAAAAAAAAAAAAAAAAAACCACTCTGCATCCTTCTTGGGAGCTCCATCTTTCATGTTTGTCTGTAGCTAATATAAATGCCGATCATAGATGCTACTAAACTCAATTTAGTCTATCCAATAGGACTTTTTAACTTCTAAGCCACTTGTTGGACATGGTGGTTGGGCTACTGTTCATCTGAACCAGTGCCTTATCAATAGTCACTCAAAATATAAAGTCTTATTAAACTATGGTTCTTAATGCCTTGTATTTTACATTATGCAAATGGTTTGCTTTAAGGAATATTAATGGGTACAGAGGGAAAAAGTTATGAAGATGCACCCCTCATATTAACAGCTCTTAACATTTTAAACCTGCCTTGTATTTTTGTTTTCGTCTAAGTAGAAAATGACACCAGTCCAAGAAAAAAAAAAGTTAAAATATTTGTCACTACAATTTTTCTGAGTTTGTAAAAACAGGGAAAATATAGTAATCCCAACTAACTAGGAAACTAAAGGAAAAAGTCATAAACTAGCAATGTTTAGCTGTTAAGACCCCTAGCTTCTTGGGAAGGTAAAATGGCATTTTGGGCTTCTCATAGTAGATATCCACTGCTCTGCTCTCTGGAGTTCTGAATTTGCACCCACATAAGCTTTTGCTGGGATATTCTGACAATTTCTTTGTTCCAGAGGCAGTTACTGAACAGTCGCTCTGTTTTTCTTGCTTGTTACCATTTTCCCCTGTTTTTGCCTGAATTTCCGTGCTTGATCCATTGTTCACTACCTCCACTGAAGAGTGGAGAGCACAGCTGCTCCTCTTGCTCTCTGAGAGACATTCTCACAGACTTGTTGAGACCCTTTGTCTCCACATTTACTGCATTTGTGGCACAAATTAAGTAGACTGCCCTTTCTACAGGTGAGCCCTGTCTGGAGTTTTCCTTTAATGTCCCTTGCTCTTTCCTGTTGGTGGTGGTTATCAGAAGCTCAGTGAGACTTCAGTGAGCCCCTGGCTTCTACTTACAGAAGAATCATAGAAGATTAGGGTCGGAAGAGACCTCAGGAGGTCATCTAGTCCAACCCCCTGCTCAAAGCAGGACCAACACCAACTAAATCATCCCAGCCAGGGTTTTGTCAAGCCAGGCCTTAAAAACCTCTAAGGATGGAGATTCCACCACCTCCCTAGGTAACCCATTCCAGTGCTTCACCACCCTCCTAGTGAAATAGTGTTTCCTAATATCCAACCTAGACCTCCCCCACTGCAACTTAAGACCATTGCTCCTTGTTCTGTCATCTGCCACCACTGAGAACAGTCGAGCTCCATCCTCTTTGGAACCCCTCTTCAGTTAGTTGAAGGCAAATCCCCCCTCACTCTTCTCTTCTGCAGACTAAACAAGCCCAGTTTCCTCAGCCTCTCCTCATAAGTCGTGTGCCCCAGCCTCCTGATCATTTTCGTTGCCCTCAGCTGGACTCTCTCCAATTTGTCCACATCCTTTCCATAGTGGGGGGCTGAAAACTGGACGCAATACTCCAGATGTGGCCTCACCAGTGCCGAATAGAGGAGAATAATCACTTCCCTTGATCTGCTGGCAATGCTCCTACTAATGAAGCCCAATATGCCGTTAGCCTTCTTGGCAACAAGGGCAACACTGCTGACTCATATCCAGCTTCTCGTCCACTGTAATCCCCAGGTCCTTTTCTACAGAACTGCTGCTTAGCCAGTCGGTCCCCAGCCTGTAGCAGTGCATGGGATTCTTCCGTCCTAAGTGCAGGACTCTGCACTTGTCCTTGTTCAACCTCATCAGATTTCTTTTGACCCAATCCTCCAATTTGTCACGGTAACTCTGGACCCTGTCCCAACCCTCCAGCTTATTTACCTCTCCCACCAGCTTAGTGTCATCAGCGGACTTGCTGAGGGTGCAATCCATCCCATCATCCAGATCATTAATAAAGATGTTGAACATCTTTCATCTTACTTCATTCAGCATCATAGCATCTTACAAGTCTTGCTTGCTTCATCCAGCAGCACTTTCTCTACCAGACTCGTGAAGTCTCCCAGAAAGCAGAGTAGTAAGGTAGCAGAGGGAAAAAAGGTTTGGGGCAAGTTTCAAAAGTGACAAGCACTTAAGAGCCAAAGTTCTATTGCCTTTCAATGAGACCTAAGGTCCTATCACAAGGGCACTTTTGAAAATGTTGCACTTATTCTGTGGATCCCTTCAGTCTGTTCCTACCCTTGTACCAATCCAGCTGCTGTTGCAGTAGTTAACTTGATCTAGAGATCAAAATATTGCAGATCTTCTTTTCAGTTATGAATTTTAGTTTTCCATACTTACTCTCTCTGCTGTAGCCCTCACCTGCTACCATTTTGGGGCCTGAGTGACTGCTCTAGCTGCATGTACATTTGCTCTGCATGCATTCAGCCACTCCACTTGAAATTTCATGTATTCATTTGATTCCCGTATCCTTGTATGTGTCAAATATATACTATATATGATAAATAATTGCTCTTGTAATTTTAAAATGACATGTAAGACATAATTTTGGGCTGCACCAGTAATTGCATTTATCAAAAAAAAAAAAAATCTTCACCTTTTTTAGCTATTGTCATGAACAAACTTTTAGTGTTATTAAATATCTGTTTTTTCCTGACTTTTTTTAAACTTTGTTTTTTCTTTTTACAGGAACGGCAGAATCGAAACAAACAATAAGAATAAACGTATACAATTTGCTATATATAATAGAACTGATATTAAATTCGACTATGAAAAACAAATCTTAAAACGTAATCTGGTGCTATATCCTGGCATCAGGACAAACTAAAGCTTTCAGCTCCAATATTTCTTCTCGTGCAGGGGGAATTAAGTTGTTGCATCTTTAAGTACATTGTAGTTTGTTTTTGCCCAGGTGGATCTGCATTAATTTGTATCTTTTCTATGTAAAATGCTATAGAATCCATTAATAAAGGTGTATCTGTTTTTTATTTTTTAAGTTAGTAAACAATTATACTGACCTAATATGGAACTATAAATGAGCATCCTAAAAATGTCAGTGTTTCCCAAAGACTTTATTTTGGCACAAATTATGTTCCTATTCTGATATTCACCATAATTTTGTATATGACAGAATTTCTCTCCTCTTCATCCCAAACCCTGTTTCTTCATCGCAATCATAAGAAACCATTGAGTTTTATCACTTTAAGAATGTTGTTTAAGAGAAATACTGCATTCAGAATATTGAAATAAATTGAATTTAAGATCACTTTTTAATTTAATTATACAATTATACTTTTAAAAATGCGAACATGCCACTTTGATTTTTTCTGTCTCAAAGAAAATCAAATTGTCAGTGAAATTGTTTAACTCTGAAAATATTTCCCTTTCACATTCTGTTAACCAGTGCTTCAGTGTGCATTTGTTCTACCCATATCCTGCAGAGAGTTAGTGAGATGCTTTCTCTCAGCCATAATTCTGCTTTATTGTTTTTGTAGCTTAATAATTAAATAATAATGTAAATGCTATCAACATTGCAGGGTTTTTGGACAATGTGTTTAAACCTGTTTCAGCTTTCAGGTGTTTAGTTAATTGCAGATCATTTTTAATCTTTCCCTTTCTTTTCCCCCCAAAATCCCAATGCCATTTAAAGTTTTTATACCAATAATGCTGAGCTTTAACGTAGAAACTAATAGTATGGACAATATGATGGATTATGCCTCAGATGTTTAAAATTGACTGTGTATGTCTAATTTTTTTTCTGTTGGATGAGTAAAAAAAAATGTTTTAAGAAACTGAATTTGCTGTCATGTTTTTGTGGAATAAGGGAACCGTTGAAGAACTCGTCACCAACTGGAGTTTCAATTAAGCATGAAAATTGTGCTCATGCCTGTTGCTCTAGCACACTGAATCTGCACGTGTTTATTGTAGAGGATCTTTTACTATATTAGAAAGCAAATATCGTCTTCTGAAAACTATTTACTCCAAAAGGACCTCTGATTTAAATAAAGTTTAAGCTGTATCATTTAGACTTGTATTTAGAACGTATAACTTTGTCTCTGGACTGTCACTGCCTGTAAGGACTCATGGACAGCATCAGATTAACTTTTTTCCTCTAGGAGAATACAAGCCTTAATAAACAATACATATTTAGCAAGTATGATGTCATTTTCATTTTTTCCCTACACTCAAACACCTGCATATATTGTAGCCATGTAACACAAACTCATGAGCACAAGACCAATTAGAGTAGTTAGTATGCTGATAGAATTACAAACATCTGAGTTGGTCAACACATTCTCTCTGGCAGGGATCTTTCTTGGGAATTGTTTTAAGAATATGTCTAAGCTATTTGCAGTATTTCCTCTAGTGTGGGGTTCTTGGGCATTTATTAACTGACAACTGTTATACTTTTTATTCTGCTTGTATGGCTGAGAAGCTTAATAAGGAATTGAAAGCTGGTCTGCAGGATTCACAATCCATACAAGGACATTACAAATATGGATCAGTGTGATGAGGAAAGAACTTTCAAAATTAGGAATAAACCAAGTAAAACTCTTTTATGTAACCTTCTGGCTTTTGACAATGTTGCACTGCTCCTTATGTTCTAGGATTTAACCTGGTGGATTTTAAAAAGCTGCCTTTTTCTTCAAAGTCCGTTGCCCTGTTGACATCCTGATAGGGCACAACTCTGGCCCACTCTTTTCCATCAGTTGGGCTCATGCAGCCAAGCATTCCACCGCCAAAAGAAATGCAGTTCTCTTTAGTCCCCAAACAGCAGTCGGACACTGGTAGCACACATTTTTAGTTTCCAACCAAAAATACGTAAGTATCACTGCTTTGCTGCTGCTGCTGCTAACCTAGAAAATAAAGGTTTAGTCTCTTAAGGAATAGAACCATTGTAGTTAGGCTGGTTTCAATGACAAGTGGGAAAGCTGATTCCGTGTGTGTCTGCCTACTGTCCCTTTTGTGGGCATCACAAAACTACCATAAGCTGCTATGATAGGCTTCTCTCCCAGACATTGCAAAGGGGTGCAGTTATAAATGTGGTCCTATTCAGTCCCCGGAGTAGCTAGCTCAGAGAGGAAGCTTGACTAGCATCTGACTCAAATTGTTGTTTCACCTTTGCCATGACCAGCACTAAATTAGCAATACATTCTAAAAATCAAGTAGAATAAATCCGTAAGTAGGTGTTGTAGAATAAATACGCAGTAATATTTCTCCTGTCCTGTAGAATGTGTGATGTTAAAGTTAAATCACTTGCTGTGCTTCTACTTGGTCTGATATTTTAGTAATGCTTGAAAGTATTTTCTCTCGAATGAGAGAGTTTTGTTTACTTGTATTTCTCTGATGCAACAGACAGGCAACCAGAGCAGCACATCTTGCATGTCCTAAAGCTGTGGTTATAATTATAGACATCACAGCATTATCAAAAAATGATTCATGACTGCAAGTACAACTGTATCAGACGGTAACATTACCAGCCTTTCAGTTGCTTAACTTTCATGGTGGTTACCCTTACTACTGACTGATGAGGGCTTGATACAACTTGGACTTGTATGAGAAATGACAAGGAACAAACAAAACTAACTGATGTTACATTAAGATTGAAACAAGCTGACAGAAGTTGGGAAATAAAGGATAAAAGCTGTCACTGCGACCTTAACTTAGTGCGTTTGTAAAATATGGTGGCTTTTTTTTTTTAAACGGGTGAGGTCTTAGGGAAGGGGTACATGAGTGTGAAGTGCAAGTCCCAAGTTTTTTCTCTCCTCACACTCCAATAGTCTGACTTTAAAAGCTTGCAATTGTAGTTTTACAGCAAACCCAGCAAACTTTTATCTAAAGCATTTTTAAAGTAGCTTTATTATTAGATTTAATTCTGCCTGGCACTTCTTTCCTGTCTCTAGATTTCCTATGCATTAGCCATAGATTTACTCATAGATGTGCTACAGGACTTAAGCTAAAAGGAACAGTGTACGTTTCTTTGTATTAAACTGACGACAACACACTAGGGAGGTGGTAACTTACGTGAAGCAGCATGTGTCTTCTTTTCCAATCTAATAATGCGTAGGGGTTACTTTCCAGCCTAACCTTATGCAGGGGGAAAAGAGAATCTCCGCTACAGTAGGCACTAGAACAGTTTTAGCTCTCTGAGTCACTATATGAAATGGCAAGGAAGTGTGTCAGCCTTTCTTGCTCTACCAAAAAAACCCAACAAAAAACGCAAACCCCCCCCCCCCCCCAAAAAAAGCAAACCCTGCTGTACAGCAGTTGTGCTGTATGCTTCTTGTGCAGACATTCCTATAAGAAATGGGGTGGGATTTTATCTAAAATGAAATAAACATGAAAGTAAAGCAAGAAAATGGAAGACAAAGCAGTCCCTCTTAACTCTCACAACGGGTCTCCCGGCTGAGCTGGTGTTCCTTGTGTTGCGTAATCTGTTAAGCTTGGGAAACCTCTGGCTTCCAAGAATATCTGCAGTTGTGAACTGTATACAGTCTATTTAGCAGAAAGGTACTTGCAATTTTTAAAGAAATACTGCCTGCAAATCAGAATTCAGCTCCAGTGCCACTGTCAAGTAATGGAGACTCAGTCCCCTGTTCCAAAGCTATATTGTTCTGTGGAGCTTGATACGGTGATAGTACGTAAACTTGCCTCTTGACATAGTATTGTCCTTCATGATAATACTTAGCTCTTGGATAGCACTTCTCATGAATAGATCTCATTACAAAGGTTAAGTGTTGCCTCCTTTATAGATGGGGAAAACTAAGCACAGAGAAGTGAAGTGACTTGACCAAGTTGGTGACTCAGCCAGGACAGAGGCAGGGGTGAAACACCATTTTCCTGACCTGTGATGCTCTGTCCTATCCACTGAACCATGCTGTGGCTGCTGTCTATTTCATGAGATTCCACAGTTTATATTTCTTGGCACCTCCCTCTGAATTTGATTTTCCTGCTTGCATTTGGATATCTTACTGACTTCACCTCCTTCCTCCCTTCAAAACTCCCCAACTGGAAAAATCCATAACAAAAATGGAAAATATTACTATTGCGTCCCCTCCCATGAGTGTTGACTTCAGTGTTTTTAATTCCTGGTATGGGCTAGAGGTTAGAGCAGGGGTCTGGGAGTTGAGGGAATGGGTTCTATTCCCAACAGGGTTGTTGTGTGATTTAAGTCACTCATCTTTTTATGTTTGAGGCTACTCCTAGTGATCCTTTACTAACCTCTTTTGGGAGACTCAGGAAAGTCCTATGTACGTGCAAAGGGGCACCACCTCCTATTCTATCTCATTCTTGTTCGCCTTTTATAATTTTCCCTACCCTTCCTCCATATACAAATACCTGACGTGAGTGTTTGATGACATGAAGCAGACCTTGATGTTTTAGTGCGTTCAGTTTGTTCAGCAAATAGAAGCTTGAAGAGCTGATGTTTGAATTACTGTTTGCCACATCTTGTTTAATTGTTTTAAATCCATTTTATTGCTGTCTGTCATCTTACCGTTACTTGGCTTATAACATGTCAAAGGAACTCTTTTTACCTGGAATGTTACCATGGCAATAGACTGTTTGGCAATGTCTTCACCAACTAGATTCCTAAATCAATGGCAAAATAATTATGAATGTAGAGTTGAGGGTACTCGGTTGTATATTGTTCCCTGGCAGAATACTGGGTTGAGAAAAATACAAATTTCCAAAAACCAGGAACTATAGAGGTAGAGGTGCCCTCTTCACCCTTCCCTCTTTCCGCTATGCCCTGTTTAACACACACACCTTTATCAACCCTACAGTTGCTGAACTGTACACATGCAGGTGCACAGTCCTTTGTCTCCGGCTTCTGCTCCACACACTATAACAATTTTGGTTAGATCGGCTGCTGACTATTCTGTTATGCTCACAGTAAAAATAGGTTCTATTATAACACAGACAACTTGTAGCAATCAACTTTTTGAGTTTATTAAATCTTTATTTGAACTACCCAGGGTGGCATAAAGTAACCCTCTTGATATTTTTCTTAATGGGTGCATGCGTTCTGTAATCCTTCCAGACTGCACATATATGCAGATGAAGAAGTGAACATGTTCCTAAATACTGCTCAGAATTCGGCTCCTCCAAAAACTTAGTGGGTGCCATGGACTAGATTGACTAAAAAATGACCATTTTGACCGTGTTGTAGCAAGGAATATGAGTTCCTAAATCTCTATTGCACAGGTGTACAAAGATTCAGATTAGAAACAGCTGTGGACAGGTGTTCACTACTGGTAGAGCTGTGAATGCAGAGTTGAAATGTGCAGGCAGACTTGGGGTGCAGTGGCAGAGCTGAGGGTGCAGAGGCGTTGGGGTCACTGACACCTGGAGAGTTCTATGCCTCTCTTACCTGAAGCTCCAGCTTCTTGGCCCTCTCCTACCACCCACCTATCCCCATTTATCCTCTACTCATAAGCCTCATTGCCTTGCAGTCCACTCTCCTCCCAGCCCCCCACTCCTCCTCCTCCTGCAATGCCTCTTCTGTTCCAGAAAGCATTCACGGGTCTAATTTTTAATCTAAATACTTTGATTACGTTCCCCCAAACTAAAATTACTCCCCATGACACAAATTGTACCAAACTCCCGCAACTCCATTCAAAACTCCTTTTGTCTTTCTTAGGTGAGGGCTTGTGATTAGCTTGTCTTTAAATATATTAATGGCAGGGCGAGTTCACAGCAATCAAGATCTGTGATTCATCCAGTCATTAGTAAATACCTCTCAATTTAACAGTACAAGGTAGCAGAAGGAACCCATGGGGGGGGCTGTTATTCAAGTACCCCTTGCACCCCAAATTTGGATCACTAATGCTACCCCGCACTGCCATGAGGCACACCACATTTCAAAGCAATCCAATTAACCGTTTGGATCTTAGAGCACTTACAAGAGTTGAGCTTTAAAGCATATAAAATGGTGGGAACGGAAATTCTAGCCATTGTCCTGCCTTAGCATATGTGCAATGTAAAATGTACATTTTCAAAAATACCATCCCCAATTTGGGGCCTCCACAGATTTGGCAAGTGCCTTGCGTTATCTTGGGTAACACTCAACAGCTTGACACCATGTTGATCCATAGCTCATCAACGGTTTGATCTCTACGTCGGGGAGGTGGGTGGGGGAAGGAACCAATCTAG